TAGGGTTAGGTTAGGTTAACTAATCCTACTTTATATCAGATCCTTCTAATCCTTCTTTATCCTACCATCCGATCCTTCTAATCCTTCTAATCCTGCTATACGATCCTTCTAATCCTACTTTATCCTACTATTCAATTCTTCTAATCATAGTTTATCCCACTATCTGATCCTTCTCATCCTACTTTGTCCTACTATTCAATCCTTCTAATCCTTCTTTATCCTACTATTTGTCAAAAGTAAAAAATATTTATTTTTAAACATTTTTCCGACGTACTTTTTGAACTTTTTTTAAATTCTCACTTGCACCCTAACCATTAGAGATAGAGGTATATTTTTTGTTTTAATGAGCAGGCCTTGGACCAGGGACATGTATCACTCTCCCATATGTCAACTCTAGGGGCAAAATCATAGGAGGGTGGGGAAAAAATAGCCCAATCAGGATAGGGTTAAAACTTAAATTCATATCCTGAATTAACCTCAACATATCCTTCTTATATCCTGTAAACCGACCCTCACGAATTACGTCCTATATTTCTTTTCCCATATTTTCTTCTCCTTTATCATTAAATCCGACCCATCACCCACGAAGTTGTTTGAAAAGAATGAGTAGTCCGCAAGTCTGTATCACCNATTTTTGACACTAAATCAAAGAATTATTTGAACAGACGATATCGAATTCGTCACTGAATTCCCATGTTTTTTGGGACACCCTGTATTTCAGGAATTGTAAGCGTAATTTCCAATGAATTTACTTTTGAATGTTTGAAAACGCTGTTAACGTAAAAAATTCGATCTACTTTTGAATCACACTAATTACAGATCCTTTAGTTGAGGTCAGCGTACAGTTTACATCGTACATTTTAGTTTAAGGTGAATTTAAGATTATAGACAATGTTGGAGGAGTTCAAGTGGGGTTCAATATGTATAAACATGGAAAGATTAAGAAACAAAGGTTTCAATGGTGCCGTTGTGAATCGGGCTTTGCCCTCTTTGCCAGCTGAGGCTCACACTTACAGAGCATTTAAGTAGCATAACAGACTTAACATGTCCAGACCAAGGTATTTTTACTGAAGGTTGGGGGGAAAGAGTTGTTGTACAAAGTTAACGGTGAAATACTTCATAGGAACTGGTTTTATCAAAACAATAACAAAATTGTAAACAAAGGAGAAGAGTAAGAAGAATAAAAAGCCCTATAAAATCTAAACATTGACAAATACTGCTTAAAGAGACTGTCGACATAATTTCAAGAATTATACTTTATTTTAAAGGTTACCATGCATCCGATGCACACCATCATTAAACTTTGTCTGAATATATTCATTTTTTTCTATTTTAAAATTTCTAAGTTTCTATGAAAGGGACATGTGGATTTATGAAGACGAGATTTGTTACTCAGATAGAAATATAAAGGATACAGTTGTGGAATCGTGTATGTTTATTCTGTAAATGGTTGGTCATTGAAAATTACGTCGCCAGTGTCTTAATTTTAGAGAAAATTTGCAGTTAATGAAAAAACTTTTACCTTTGAACGTCATATATTCATAATCGAATTATCTGAAAGAATTGTAATTTGATTAAATAATGTAATTTGTTGTAATATTTTTAGTAAACATATTTTATAATTCAAAAAATTCTAAAATAAATAAGAAACTTGGTTTTGAGGTCTGTTTTTAAAATTTTGATCCAACCCGATTTTTGACAATTAAGATATTCATAATGTCGTCTTTAAATACAAAGACGACGACAAGAGAGAGAGAGAGAACCGCCATATTTTCCTTCATTAAATAATCAGCTGATTCGATTTCATTATGGAAGGCTCAGTATAAGTTTCCTATTCCTAACGAATTTTTCACAGGATTGTAACCTATCTACGTGTTTTTTAAACGATATAGGGGTCTGTCCTAGTATACGATTTTTGGACCCCCCCCATTTTTGTTTTAAATGTCGCCTGATCTCTATATCCCTTCAAATTACAGCAAAATATGATCACTGCAGGGTGTAATCACTACCGGATATCTAAGAGAATTAGATATCAATCCATAAATCTGCATACGATGAAGATTAATACTTGATCCCTTAAGTCACAACAAAAAAGTTTTAATTAAGTTTTATTTTATTATTTCTAGAAGTACAACATGGCCGCTCCTGGAGGGAAATTATTGAAGGTGTTTGTGACGCGATGTAAGTCGGCGATTCCAGTTCCGGCTGCCCAGCTTTTAGAACAAAATTTCCAGGTGATTTAACTAGGTATATTCCTAGAGAACGATTTTTGGACCCCCCTCCGCCCGCCTTGACAATTTTGTATATGACCATGGAGTCCCTTTCTACGCGATAAAATTGTCGACCATTTACAGAAAAATAATCTTATTAACCCCAGTCAACATGGATTTATGAAGCAGAAGTCCTGCCTTACTAACTTATTGGAGTTTTTGGAGGTCATAACCAGCCTTCAGGGTGGAGGTCATGTTATGGACATTATATTTTTAGATTTCTCAAAGGCTTTTGACAAAGTGCCTAAAAACAGATTGCTTGAGAAACATAAAGCTCATAGTATAAATGGTGATGTTTTGAGATGGATCGAAGCTTGGCTTTCAAACAGGGGGCAAAGAGTAGTTTTGATTGGCCAATATTCAGAATGGAAACCTGTCTTAAGTGTTGTTCCTAAGGGATCGGTGCTTGGTCTGATCCTTTTTATCATCTATATTAATGACATTGACTTTCTTTGTGCACAAATTTCTGTGTTAAAAAAATTTGCTGATGATACAAAATTTGCCCAAAAAATGTTAAACGAAAGTGACTAAAATATATAAAAATATATTACAAAACTGTCTTAATAAACTTTGTGATTGGGCTGAAACTTGGGGTATGATGTTCAATGTTGATAAATGCAAAGTTATGCACATTGGAAATAGAAACCCCTGCTATACATACACCATGAACAATCAAACCCTGTCAGAGATCGACGAGGAAAAAGATATCGGAGTTACTATGCATGCAAACTTGAAACCTTCAGTGCACTGCAACCAATCAGCTCAAAAAGCAAATGGTATATTGTCACTTATTTCTAAAGCATTTCATTATAGAGACAAAGTTACATTCATCAATCTCTATAAACTTTATGTGAGACCTCAGTTAGAGTTCTCCGTCCCAGCTTGGTGTCCTTGGAGGGTAGGAGATAAAGTGGAAAAATCTTGATTCACTGGATATTCGTAATTATTGAATATAATACTCTGTATATTAATGTGATATATGCAACCATATGAATATCATGACAATAATCGGAAATTTTCTTATATACTCCGACAGGAGTCCTGAAAATAATCCTAACATAAACATAAACTTACTTTTCAGCAAAGTTAATATTTTTTTTTTATTATTTAGTTGGGTCTAGTGCTGCGGCTAGGACAGGCTAGGGGGCCGAGCGCCTCGGCTAGGAGCCTAGGACAGGATAGGGGGACGGGCGCTGCGGACACATGGTCAAATATATCCATGTCTTACATATAAGATCTATGTACAAAATCGATAGGAGGGGGGGGGGTCCAAAAATTGTATATTAGGAAATTACCGATGATTTGCCGAAAAAAACACTTAAACAAACTTTTTAGCCTAAAATTTGCAGGTTGAGTATTGGACTAAACCTGACCCTATTCCTAGGTTTGTTCATACTTTTCTGATATTTGATATTTTCTTAAACCTTTAATAAAAGATTTGTCCAGGGAGAATTTATTGCTGGGTGTGAGAGGAGTGGATGGAATATTTTGTATTCTCACTGATAAGATTGATAAACAGGTAATAACAACGAAAATTTATTGACACTAGAAATTCAAGGCGCTTCGCGCCCATCTTCTATTTAAATTGTGAACGTGTTCTTTTTGTTTACATTCTAAAACAAAGAAGAAGAAAATTTTGCGAATTTTTAAGAATTTTTTTTTTACAGATTTTCAAAGATTTAAAATATTTTTACAAAATTTAAAACCTTTAAAACACATTTTTTTAAATTTTTATCATTCATACACCTTCCCTGTGGTCATGTGATGTTCCACAAAAAATTTGGGCCCGATCGGATCAGCTGTTTTGACGTTTATTGGATACAAACAAACAAACAGACAAACAGACAGACAAGCCAAATTTATATGTAGATATTTTTGAAAAACCCTTGAAAAATGCATGTAGACTTTGATAGTTGTTTAAAACAAACAAAAAATATTTTTTTCATTTTTTTACCCTTTTTAGGTATTTTTTCCACCCTCCGTATCACCCAAACTATTAAAGTTATCAGTCTAATTTATTTGTCTTTGAGCTAGCCATGAAAAATTGGGCTATGAACATACATTCATACATACATAAATTTGGCTATGAACATACACCCATACATACATCCTACCGTATACTTATTCTCTAAGCCTTTTTTCTAGGGGGGGGGGCGCCAAATGCCCACCCCCCCCAGACTATACATAGATTCAGACCCCCCAGCCTTTACAAGGTTAACTACTTTTTCAAGTATTATTTTTATTAAGACAATAGATGAAGACTCAACTAAAAGTCTTGACTTCTGGGGAGCCCGTGAAGAGTGCAAGAAGATCGGAGGAGATCTCCCAATTCAGTTAGAACAGTCCAGTAATAAATATCTATATTCCCTAGCCAAAGAATTTGAGTCTGATCTATGGATCGGTATCACAGAGAATGTAAGTTGATCATATGTTTAAAGATTTTTTGTGTAACATTTAGTATTAGATTTTTTGGGGAATCTTTTTTTTTTGGGGGGGGGGTGGTTTGTTTGAAAGTATCATTGCACTTGGTCCAGCTGTTTAAAAGTTTAAGTGACCTAAACTTTGGTAATAAGAAATTCGCAATGTTTAACAATTTTTATGATCATGTAAAATAATGATAACTTGTTTTTAGAAAAAGAAAGCAATCAAGGAATAGAAGTTTTTCATAATTTGGTTAAAGCAAAATTGCTCAACCAAGATTTTATTTGCTTTGATTCTTAATTTAAAATTTAAAAAATGAACCCGCTGAATACCCAATTTTTGGTGTGGAAGTGTAACATGAATGTAACAAAACTGAGTTTTTACCACAAACTCTGATTATCTAATATTTATATCATTTTAACTGGATGTTGCACACCTTTGATATTTTAAACAATTAATTCTGTTGGATAAAAAAATCTGTGTTTGAAATGTCCACAGTTGTTCAGGTGGCTAGTATGTAGGGATCGATTATAAATTTGAGCTTGTTGAAAAAACCCATTTCCTTTTTTGTATAGTCTCTATATTAGTCCACTTAAAGGATTTTTTCTAGAACTAAAGGGAGTCAAAATACTTATCAAAGTTCAAATTCAAGTTCAAATTAAATATCAATCTTCCATTTTGTATTTAGGAAAACGGTTCTTTTAGTTGGGTGGATGGGTATCCTATAAATGAAATTTCATCAGATCTTTGGCTTCAAAATTCAGATGAGCACCAGCCAATGTAAGTAGTTCTGGGCAATAACTTGATATGTTTTTTTTTCAAAAGGTTTTCCATAAATCTGCAAAGTTTCACTTATTCAAAAATAGTTTATTCTAAACATTTCCTTTTTGTAGACTTTTGCAAATTTTAACCCTTGGAGCAGATTTAGGTAAAAATATCGTTTTAAACTTAAACCTGAGAAAAAAAAACTCTTCAAAGTTAGACAAAAGTAAACTTTAACCGAACATAGTTTTAAGATGTTATACCCTTCACTATTTTTGTGGTGATTTTTAAAAGTTCTATAACTTAAGAAAGTTTTTTAAAAAAGATTTAAAGCTCATAATTGAATGTAACTAAACTAAAAATAAAGTTTAGTTTAATGTTTCAGCACAGTATTTGTTCTACAATATCTTAGAAACCTGTCAGCCAGGAAAAAAACATTAATTTGCACATTTAGAAATATGAATGGGTCTGCAAGGGGGTCACTTCTAGTAAATGAACATGGATCCTGGGCAACCAAACCAGAGTCTGAAACTCTCAGATATGTTTGCCAGCATGAGGCAGGATTTTTTTGTCTGGATGGAATGGTCCAGCATGATATTTGGTAAAAAGATCTTTATTATTTTTAAGAAATAGTTGGTTCCTTGTTAGGGTTTCCACCAGAATTCCGAGATACGGTTTACATACTGAAATGATCCATTTTCCATTTCCACTATTTAAAACACTTTCGGAACAATTTCCGGAACGATATTTTTCTGTAAGCCAGAAATTTCCAAAACGTTGTTCCAGAATTACAGAGCGTTCTGCAATATTGTTCTGGTTTATGGAAAAATTGTTTCGAAATTTTCCGGGAAAAGGTTTGGAAAATGTTAAAGACATCTTATACTTATGAAAAAGATAAGACCAGTAAGTAATCCCACTATTTTACTGAATGGGAATTCTACAAAGGATTCTTCCACCTCAATACTGGGGTCGATCCTGTCCACTGCTTCCTTTAACTGTGACACTTGAGTCTGCTGTGCTTCTAGGATTTGGGCTTCAGCCTGGTATTGTCACAGCACGGTCTTTTTAAACTGTTCAGTGATTTGTACTTCTTCCAAGGTTAGGGCCGCTTCCAACTTTATTGACTCTGCTGCAATTAAATCGGTAGGGTTAACCAGAGCTTGTGAGTAGTGACACTTGCCATTGCTTTAACCAGGCCGGATACTTGGCCTTTGCTGCCTCCTCCATTCCAGGGTGGGCAGGCTCCGTCGAACTCATTATTAACAACCATGAATTATTCTCAAGCTGTCAAATTTGTCCTTTCTAAGACTGCAAAAACAACCCCTTAAACCTACTTTGTAAGAGTCAAAATACATCTTTACTTATGTCAAATCTGGGAGAATAAATTATTGTTATTATATGTCTTTTTATTACTTTTTCAGTAACTGAAAACTTGCACAATGACTGGTAAATTGTGAAATTCATTGTTTACAAGAAACAAAAACAATCAATTTATTCAAATCCCAAACAAAACAATATGGCTAAAATGAACTTTTAAGGGCGGACTAGAAAATTTGGGCATGTCACAATATAGACTTGAAAATAATTCAGTATTAAAAAGCCAAAGTTTAGTTGAATAACAAAGCATGGTTGCACACACACACATTTATTTATACATTATAACTATACATTAGTGTTGGACCAACTTAAGTTGATCTAAATATACATGACATATGCTTGGGAGCGAATATATTTCCATTAGACTTTTCTCTTCAGATACTTCTGACTGACTGACTGACTTTGAATAAGGGGCATAAATTTTTCCAGTTAATGGAATAAATAGGTGATTTTTTCCAGAACATTAGGAATTCCAGAAAATGGTTCCGAAAATTTCTGGTTTCTATTTCATAAACCAGAAAAAATTCCGGGTTAACTTAACATAAACAAGAAAAATTCTGGTTTCCATTTCATCTGGAAATTTCCTGGAATTCCACTCTACAGACAAATTTCTGGATCATTCCAATTCCACAATGTAAATTTTGTTCTGGAATAATGGAAACCCTATTCCTTGTTTTTTCTTTTCCCAATAGTTCCATCCCTGTTCCTATCTTGTTTTCATGATCAATAACAGTCTCTAAAATTTCATGACTGTTATATGATTAAAATCACATTTATGAAATAAAACTCATTCCTTATTTTGATATTAATTTCAGACCATTTTTTCAAACAATTGTTTTTTATAAAAACAGAACAAAATTGCAAACAAACATGCGGCTAAAGTTTAAAAAAATGAAGAATATGCTTGGTCCTACTAACTGTTGTGTGAAACAAGCTTGTATTGCAAATAATTGTCTGTCACTTGAAATTTTGTCAATTTTAAATTGTTATCAGAAATATGTAAAATAACAATAACAAGATTCTATATTAAGGTGTTACACATTTGAAATAAATCCAGAGAAAGATATTTTGGAATGGACAGTGGCCAACAATGAGTGTACAAAGCTTGGAATGAGTCTTCCTGTTTTTAACCTCAATGAATCTGAATCTGAATCTGAATGGTACAACAAAAAATTAATAGCCCTGGCTGTGTACTTGCAGCATGTTCATGCAGGATTTTGGATTGGTGCCAAAGGTAGTAATCATAATCTGAGAAAAAGATCAACCCACCAGTAAAAAATAACAAAGAACCAAATTTAATAAATTGCAGAAGTTTAAGAAATACCTACAGCCCGTCAAATCTTGACTAACCAATTCAAATTTGTAGTTGGTGATATGATCATTCAAATTTGAACTGGCCGTAGGTAGTTTAGCCCCCTACTAATTAATTCCTTAAACGTTGTCTAATTGGAGTTAATTGGAATCAGTTTACTTCATTTTCTTTCAGAAACCACGATAAACAGTGAAAAGTTTGACTGGGTTAACTATGGTGGAGAGCTTGAGGATGGATATGATGCTAGATCAGATGATATAATTTATGATGCATTAGCTGATGATTGCCTTTGGTTTGCTCCTTGCAATGGTAATGAGTATGCCTGCAACCCAATTACCACAAATAACAAACGGTAGTTCATGGTTACAATCCAAATATTCTGAATAATATTAGATTTTCTTTTTAGATGGCTAGCTGACAAGTGTGAATCAAATAAAAGGCCTTACTACTACGGCTGCCAAATTTTAGTCAAAGAAACTGTTAACCTAACTGGAATTTTTAACGGTAACCTTTCAAATTAGTTTAAAGGAGTTTATAACGTGGGATTCAATTATAAATCCTGTTGCTACCCCTTGAAATTTATGAAAATAAATTGGCTTTAACATAGACTTACATTTATCATTTTTTTTAAAGATTATCAGTATTCAATTAAAATTGTCGATTACAAAATAACCAGCTTTTTTTTGAAGGAATGATTATTGTTTCAGTGAAAAAGTACTGCCTTCGAGGATGGACTTTATTCGCTGATGAATGTTATAAAATGGGGGACACTGAAGAAACTTGGGCATCCGCAAACACTTGGTAATACCTTTAAAGGGACCATATGTTGCGAATCAAAATAAATTTCGAATATAAAATTAAACTGTAGTATCTAATCCTTAATTGTAAATGTCATTATTTTTTTATTTTTTTAGTTTTTAACTTTCTATTTCTAAAATAACACTATTTTATTGCATTAAAAATTGTGTATTGCCTGTGTAAAAAGCTGATTTGAACTCGGCATGACAAATGAAAAGTTGTGCACATATGGGAACAAAATCTGCAAAACCTACGAACCAATATAAGAGTAATAGAATAATTGATTGTCATAAAGACGTCGTCTTTGTATACACATTTTACATGTTTTAATACGAAAAACGTAAATTTCTTGCTAACTCAAATATCAAAAGTTTTCATATTTTAATACATAATAACAAACACATAATGACATTAAAATATAATAAATTTAAATGTTATTGGGCTGCTATTACGGAAAAAAAACATCAAATAGTGTCTATAGAGAGGGACCGTCCCTTTGCACTCAAATTCTGAACGAAAAATCAGCTTTTTCTCTGGCCACAGTTGTCTTTGAAAAGTAAGACTATTACCAATCAAGAGCGAATAGGATGTTTAGTTTACCCTGAAATTACTCAAATAAGTGAACGGTCCCTTTAAGAAATTTATTTAAAAGTTGAACATTGTGTCTTGGCTGATATAAATTTAAATTGTTTTTATTCATAGATTAAAATCTAAGACTGAAATTATTAGATTTATAAATTAAAACAGATCTCATATCAGGTGCAAAGAGGTGAACCACCAATCTAATCTGGTCAGCCTCAGTTCATTAGCTGAGAACGACTTTGTTTCTAATCCTATTTCAAAGGTAAATAATAATCACAGTTAAAATGACAAGGACTTGTCTAGTAATAATTAAAGTTGTTAATTAATGATATTCAATTACACATTTCAAGTCATACCTTAAATTGGTCCACTTTCAAAAATCATCAATAAACATTTTTCCTAAGCACAATTTCAAATTTTGACCATCCATATACCCCTTCCTTAGGATCTGTGATTTGAGACAAAAATGTTGGACTAAACACCTTGGCAATGTTGACATTTATTGAATACTATAAAAAAAGCAAACATAAAAGCAAATCTATATATATATATTATACATGGATTAGATTTACATAAAGTTCTTACAGGAAGTAAGTGAGCCAAGCTGGATTGGGTATAACAAGAGAAGTGGGGAGTGGAAATGGACAGATGGAACTTCTCCAACACAATTTTACCATTGGGCATCCAATCAGAATCCACAAGATGATCCAAACCGCTGTGCTCTAATAAACTCTAATAATGTTGATAATCCTGGAAACTGGGTTACTGCATCTTGTACACAACTCCATAATTTTGTATGTAAGGTAAGGATCACAGACTGAAGAAGAAAGACTGCTTTTAAAATCTAGTATGCCTAGTTAGATATACCTTACTTGTAATGGCACAGCATGCTATTGCTGTATATCTTTATATATAAAGTTGTAATCTCTGTTTGTCTGTCTGTTTGTTTGTCCAATCACAACGGAGGAACCCTTGGACAGATTTGCCTATAATTTTGATTGGGGAACTCAGGAGAAACACGGGAATGTTCTTAGTTTGGTTTTGAAATTCTAAAATGAGTAAGTCGACTTAAATAGCGAAAATTTGTTTTTCCTGTAAATGGTGGGAGACACTTTTAGTAACCCAGGCAGCATTGGGTTCCCAAGCTAGTTCTAAATATTCTAATTACTCTAAGAAACATAAAATTCATGAATGTAGTTTATTTTCACCCTGCAATTAAAAAAATCCTGGAAATTATGACACAGGTGTTCTTGGACATAAACCCTCCCAGGTGGTTTGAGTTTAATATTAAGCTATAATTAGAAATGCTGCTATAAAAAAAATACCATTGTATGAGCCTCAGATTTATTTATGTCATCCAGTTAGTTGACATACAGTAAACAGAAAACAGATTCTAAATACAAGAATAGTTTAATAAAACATAAAGATTTATGAAAATAGCTCAAAATGTAACAGTGAATTATGCCTCAATTAAGAGGAAAGCACTGTACTTTAACCTTACAAGATAATAACTCCAATGAAGAAGTTATATATATCAAACAAGCTATATATATATCGATCCCAATTGATGGGGACGTTCTAACCTAGTTATATATCAATGCAGGGTTTTGGTGCTTCAATGCCACACAAGGACACAAGCCTAGCTATCTATGTCTATCTACGGATACTAGCAATCAATTGATCAAAGCCTCAACCAGGACAGAATCTCATCAGCTATGAATGTCAATACAGACACAAACTAGTAATCAATAGATTAATACCAATACTCAAAGTATGATCTCCAAATGTAATTTTAAAAAGAACCAAATTACTTCTAATACCATAATCAAAGTAAAGTCTCAATCAACTAACTTTATTTAATATCATATTTCTCAAAGTTAACAGGAATTAATGTAGTTACAATTCCTACAAGGTTATCTACATTACATGATAAAGACCATTGAATTACATATTCATTGCACAGTTAAGGTTTAATATACATATTTGTAGGATTAGAGAGAATAGACATAATGCAGTTAATCTCTTTACATGTTTTATAGCGTAATTTAAGTATGTCACATGATTTAAGCAAATCCTTTTAAGTATTCAATTAAAACCCAGTTTCAATGAATACTGTCATTATGTCTAAGTTTACAACATTAAATCATGAGTATGTACAATGTACTGCAGTTTTTACAAAATAGCATGTTTCCATGATTTTTGCTACAGGTCTAAGCTATTATTGGGCCTTATTTATGGCTCAAGTCTTGAGATAAGTTTCAACTAGTTTTCCACAGAGGTTTATAAAACAAGTTTCATATTGTGTTTAAAGGATTTTCATGGTTAAAATTGGCGTATTCTGGGATTTGATCTTATTAAGACTAAACATTGAGACTAATTCTTAACTGAAACCAACCAAGGTTTGCTTTATTTTCATTGGGTAGGGAACAGGGCAGTAAAAAGTCCGGTCTGTGTAAAAATAATCTCAAAAAACAATAACTTTTTTTGGCCAAAGTTACACATCTAAAAACTATATTTTTGAAAACCCCTTGAAAATGGATGTAGAAACATGTGTTAATTGATATTTGTTTAAAACAAAAACAATATTTTTTACATTTTTAAAAACTTTTTTTATACATTTTTTCAACCCTCCTTAGCACCCAAACTATAACAGTTATCGATCTAATTTTTTTTTTCTAAGAGCTGGCCTTAAAAATTGGGCTATGAACATGCATTTCAACCCTTTACCCCTCCCAGTCCACACATAGATTCAGACCCCCCAGCCTTTATAGGGTTATAGGGTCATGAACACAACAAATTACCCTTTAGAGAACACTGTCTAGCCTTTCATAGAAAGCTCTATAGTGTCTTATCTCTGGCATGGATCATTAATTTGTTAGACCCCCTATGTTTCATTTATCTTTGTTCAGATGCCCTCGACTGAAGACCCCTCTGGAAACCCTACACTTCCAGATACAACAGAAGCTCCAGAAAACCCTAACTGTGGACATCACCATGGATGGGTAGAAGATCCCAAAACAGGTTAATAAAAAAAGGAAGTCTTTACTGGAAAGGTTCAACTAAAAAAAACAAAATGTTACTACAGTGACATGGAGGAATTTTCAATTTCAGCAGAAAAGATATAAAAATTAAATAAGCATCTACTTCCAATACATCCCAGCAAGGAAAACACAGATTTTCAACAAGATTAGCTGGTGGAGAACTGGTTGATAATTCATCTGATTAATTTACGCCCCTTCCTTGTATTTTACTCATGCTAAGGCTAACTTTTATTCTCTTGAAAATTCTTCCCGTCAACAGCACTGGTAAAAATTAGGAAAATATCCTGTTAAAATTTTCACAGTTTTTTTGTGCGTATGTTCGTAGCAAAGATGCCAGCCCAAGATCTTGCATATTCCCAATGTGTTAAACACAAGTAATGCATTACCAGAATATCTAGATTTTAATTTTAGTAATCATCACATGTAAGAGAGTTGAGAAATATAATAATAAATAAGTGAAATACACCAGATGATAGTTGTGTTCCCCATGGGTTAGTTTGGATTAGATATACATTAAAAAAGGTTCAATATCAGAACTATCAAAATAAATTGACTTCATTTTATTCACTGGACATGAAAATGGTCAAAAAGGGGGAAATTTTCTTCAAATAGAAACGTAAGAAATCAGTTTATGTGAAAAAGTATTAAAAAAAAGGGTATGTGTAGGGTTGTTAATCGTTTTAGAAAACGATCGTTAAACGATCGTTTTTGGTATTGTTTTTCAATCGGAAAAAAACCATAGTTTTTAAAAACGGCCAACTCGTTTTGAATTTTTAAAAAACAAAAAAACAATCGTTTTGAAAACAATTATTTTTTGTAAAAACAAAGGGTCGTCGTTAACGAAACAATGAACTTTATAAAAACGATCTTTTTTGGAAAAACGATCGTTTTTGAAAAAAACTTCTTGATATTTTCTTTGATTTCTTATTGATAAGTTCAGATGCCCTTCAGGACATGGGGTTTCTTCTCTTCATTAACGATCGTAAACAAAGGGTTGTCGTTAACAATCTTTAATGAAGGGTTGTCATTAACGATTGTTAATGAAGGGATGTCGTAAACTATTGTTAACAAAGAGTTGTTGTTAAAGATCGTTAACGAAGGGTCGTCGTTAATTATCAGTAACAGAACAATGAGTTTTGTAAAAACTCACATTTTCAAAAGGATCATTTAAAAATGACCATTTAAAAAAAAATCTTCTTAATAAACTATCCTTTTTAAAAACAATCGTTTTGTTTTCGATTTTTCTTCGTCGTTATCAAATGATTGTTTTTCAAAAAAATGAAAAAGTTAACATTCCTAGGTATGTGCTACCATTTTCTTGAGACTCCTTTAGCATGGGAGGATGCCAAAGAGGAATGTAAGTCCATGTCTGGGTATGGAGGGGATGGTGATCTTGCTTCTTTGAATTCATTTATGGAACAGAGTTTTGTTCAAAGTAAGTATTTTCTTATTTTCTTAAATCACAATATAAGCAATTAATTTTTACTTTAGTTCTTTATGTTTACAAAATATTCCTTTAGGTTTAATCCAAAATGAAGGTGATGAGGAAGGAACTTGGATTGGACTTGCAGACTTGGGAACTGAGCGTGTGTTTAGATGGTCTGATGGAACTCCTATATCCTATGTAAACTGGAATGATGGAGAACCTAACAGTTACTTTGATAATGAGGATTGTGTTGAAATAATACCATCCCTTGGGAGCAAATGGAATGATGAAAAATGTGATATACTTAAGAAATCAGTTTGTGAGAGAAAAGGTAAATGATCTACATGAGCCATGGCTTAAATAGTTGCAGTTTACAAATACAGTTTTTTTTTCACTTTCATATTCCCCTTATATTTTTCCAAAAACAAAACTTTATTATTAATACTTTCTTTCTCCCTTTCAAACCAAGGAAGAAATGTGATGTTGTGTTTTTATTTATTGGTCATATTTTTGTGCTTTTCAGAATTCGGCTTACTTTTATTAAAACGCTCTAAGCTTTCTAGGATGAAGACAATAATGGACTCTTATTAAATTTAATATTTATTCCAGGATATAACTATAAACCTCCCCCGACCCCATCTCCTCCAGAAGGTTAGCTTCAAATTGAATGTCAAGCAAAACATAATTTTTGGTTATTATAAATTATATGTAAGCTAACAGTAAAATTTTCCTAGATAGTTTAAAAGTTAAGTATATAAAATAACTATTTAGTTTCTTGTGAGCCTGGCTGGGAAGTATTTGAGAATAAGTGTTATTACTTCAGTGGTTCTGTAGAGACCATTTCAAATGTCACAACAGGAAATATTATTTGCAAAGCATTAAACCCCATAGCTACTTTGGCCTCAATAGCTAGTAAAGCAGAATTAGATTTTGTATTAGGTAAATTTGAATTACATATTTTTATGTTAATATATATATCAGACTATTTTAATGTGTCAATCAATTTTTAGAACATATGCAAAAAAGTTCTTATATTGGAGCATCAGATTCACATGATGAAGGTGTTTGGACATGGGATGATGGTACTCCATGGGGTTTTGCTAATTGGGGAACCAATGAACCAAATGGTGGTTCAGGAGAAAATTGTCTTGAAATAGTGAACCATTCACGATTGAAAAATACTCGGGGCTGGTGGAACGACATTAACTGTGAAGACCGTGGTATCTCAAGAGGATATATTTGTTCCTATAATAATAGTAAGTTTAGTTTATCCGGTCACGTACTATTTTGTTCACATTGTATTATTTCAGAGGTTTGTCCAGACAACTGGAGATATTGGAACAACCAGTGTTGGTTTAGCTCTACTGAGAAAACTAATTATGAAACAGCTAAAAAAGAATGCTCAGATGTTAGTTTAACAGCAAAACTGGCTTCAATTCATGATATTACCGAAAACTGGTTTTTATCAGGTACAACTAAACTCTTAGCTAAAACCATTAATGAACTTCTGGTGGGAAAGTAATGGACTTTTGGTGGAAAATATTAATCTGAATAACTTTTATCATTTGTAGAACTGGAAAAAGATTCTTCTTTTATTGGGCTGCAAAAAGGATTTAATGAGAAGTGGACCTGGAGTGATGGTACTGATGTCAGTTTTAACGGTTGGGATGAAAATCAACCTGTTGGTGTTGGAAAGTGTGCAGTACTTAGAAAAGATGGAAAATGGAATACTGAAGATTGTACTTCTGAGCAGTATTATGATTGCAAATTTAAAGCAAGTAAGAAATTTCTTTTCATAAGTAAAAATATCAATTTTTTTAATATTTGACAGCAAAAAATAATTAGAACCATAAAATTTAGTTTCTTTTTTGATAAATTAATGAACTAGCATATTTATTAATTCTGGCCTGACCCTTTTATTGTAAACATGTACTATTTCCATAGGCATTTCTTAACTTTTTCTACATTGCTTTTAGGTGCATATTATGGGTGCCCAATTGGCTGGAGTTTAGCAAAAGGCTGGTGTTATCTTTTGCAAGATGATGTTCTACTATGGGAAGATGCGGTTACAGCATGTAAGGCTAAAGGCGGGGATTTAGTATCCATTCAGAGTTATAGTGAACAGGAAGAGGTGTTTGCATTGATAAACAGTGGCCCACCATGTCCCGAAAGTTTTATAGAGGACAATGGCATTTGTGTTTTTGTATCACCCTATTTACTTACATGGGCAGAAGCAAGGTCATCATGTTTAGAAGCTGGCTCTGACCTCTTTATGGTTAAATCGGCTGCTGATCAAGCTGTTGTGAAGAAATACTTAACAGAGGGTGAAGAATTATGGTTGGGTGGCACAGATGATCAAGAAGAAGGCTCATGGGTATGGGTAGATGGGACACCTTTTATGTATTTCAACTGGGAGGAAGGAAATATTAATACTAATGGAGAGAACTGTGCACTGAACAGAGGAGAAACCAACCACTGGGTAGCCAGAAATTGTTCTGAAATTCATGCATATGTGTGTGCAAGGCCTACAAGTAAAGATAAAACACGATGGATTGGATTATCTGATAAGTCAAGTCTCCAAACCTTTGAATGGTCAGATAAGAATCCTATGATTTACAGTAACTGGGGTGTTGGAATGCCTAATACTTATGGAGAGTTACCAGTATGTTCCTACATTAACACCATTCATGGAGACTGGATGCATACAGAATGCTCAGAATCTAAGGTTACACCACTAAATTAATTAAATAAATATGTTTTAACTTTTACATTTTTGAAATGTACAGGGTTCTGTGTGCAAAACAAATTCTGAAATTACTGGTCCTCCCCCTGATGTTGATGGCTGTCTTGAAGATGAAGTTGCATATATGGACACATGTTACAGATTTGATGTTCATTTTACATCTTATGATGCATCTGAAAAAACCTGCAAGGATTGGGGTGGTCAACTGTTGGATCTGCAATCAGAGTATGATATAATTCATTTCAAAATTTAAAATATCTTAAAATCAGTTCGTTTACATTATTTGCTTTCTCTGTAATTTTTTAGATATGAGCAAGCCAAAATTACAACATTTGTTGTAGACCTTGAAATTCATTTTTGGGTTGGACTGAAATACAATAATGCTACTCAATCATTTGAATGGTCTTCAGGGAAACCTGTAGAATACACTCACTGGGCTGAATATGAACCAGGTAAAAAGGAATTATCAAATGAAAAAAGCTTAATCAAGAGAGATAATCAAACAATGTTATTTCAGACTTCAACCATGCAGAAGATGATGGATCTGGTTTTTGTGCATATATGCATAGACATGAAGATATCGGGTTTTGGAAAGTTATTAGATGCTCTAAACCAATGGCCAGTATCTGTGAATTTCCTAGACAGGGATATACAGAGCCACCAACAACAACTACAACAATTCGTCCAGAAGCTCAATGCCCAAGCTATGAGTGGATAAAATATAATGAACATTGTTACAGGTTTGATTGTTGTAAATTTGTTAAAACATGTAATTTGACACTATTTTTTTCAGAGCATTCGAAGCTTATAATATTGGAAATGGATTTGGGTATGGCTTTGAAGATGCAAGAAAATTTTGCCAAAGTCAGGGTGGAGATCTAATAACAATTGGTGATTATGATGAAGATTACTCTACTGTACAATCACAGTATTTATATGGGAATTATTATATTGGACTGAGGGCAAATGAGAATGAAGATAATGAACTGGTAAATTCCATAACATCAAAAATTTCAAGAAAATGAAAGTAATTTTAATTTTACAGGAATATGGTTGGATAGATGATACACCTTTAAGTTTTATAAACTGGGGATATTTGCAACCAAACACACATGATGGTAAGCATATTGTTTTGTGTTGGTGATAAAGAAAAACCAATTTTGATTCAGGAAAAGAACTATGCATTGCATATGACTTCACATCAGTCTATGCTTGGCGTAACTTCAACTGTGAAGAGAGGTTAGGTGTAATTTGTGAATCAGTGGCAGGAATTGAAGCTCCAACAACAGTGGATCCTCCTACTCCACCACCAAGGTATAAATAGACTTCAGATTTGATAATAAGTTATCTGTCATTTTTAACAAGCAAAGAGACTTAACCACTTTAATTTCTACACTCATATCTTTGCAATCTGATGATATGACATATTTTAAACATTTATTTCTTTAAGATAAGTTAGCTAAAGTTTGAAATTCATAAAGTGTACTCTAAAGATTTCAACGAAAGTGTAACATAATGTAAAATGTATGTTTTTGTACATTACATTACAGTAGTATGAAATGTTTAGTTTTATTCTTTTTAGCAAGTTTAAAAGTGTAAGGTCAAAGAACTAAAAAATGCTTATCTATTTTGAAAGTTTTCCGAAATATTATAATGAAAAATTCAACTTTTCAGAAATAGTTTATTAATGAAATAATCAGGAAACAAAAGTTTTTTATACAGATTATAAATTTTAATAGTATAACATATATCATGACTATTAAAAAAATGATATTCTGACAATCAAAATGTTTCATAACTTTTCTCTGAGTACTAAATTGATTAGTCTAAATTGATTAGTCTAACGTTTTAAATATGTCGGATGAAAATATTGTTCATAAAACATAAGGTTATGAGGGCTGAGTTTTAATTTCAAAAGCGTAACAATAATTAACGACACTAATGTCAGTTTTTAGGAAGAAAATAGAAACAAAATTATCACAAAAAAATCTTGCAATGCGTTTATTTAGAAACCAACATAATTTTTAATTAAGTGTAATGTAAGAAATGTTTTGTCCTTTACATTTTAATACAACGTAATATATGGAACATGTTTTAATATCTTTCTTTGAAAAAAATGAATGAACAGTTTTAAATGTCAGTTGTAAAATTATGTAATGAATAAAGGTTATTACAATAACATTTCAATAAAACAGTTCGTAAGAAAAGTTGAAATTTTGTAAAAATTTCTGAAGTTAAGATAAAATGTGCAGAACTATATGCCTTAATGACGTTTTATTGAAACAAAACGTTTGTAACCTTTTAGTTTTAAAAGCAAGTAAAATTGTAACTTAAAGTCTCTGAAAACATTTAACTTGGATAAAAGTTGGAGGTTAACAAACTGTGGTTACATTACTGAAGCTTTTTTAAAACAAAGAATTCAAAAAGGTACAAAGCTTATTTTTTTCACCAACATTCATTCAAGCTTGATGGTGTATAGGGTATTAAGTGCCACAAATACATTACATAACTTTGTTCTATGCCTCAAAATATCATAATGTGCAAGATAATGTTCCAAATGTTATACTTATAATAAACACTATCATAACAAAAGCTGATATTACATAAAAACAAAACCTTTAAATCTTTCTTTAGTGTATACATACTATCAGGTTACAAAGATATATAATAAAAGAATGATTTTAAAATAAATAGTTAGAGACTTTTTTTGATTTCATTAATTTCAAATTCTAGCTAGTGTAAGAATATTAAAACAATTACCAATCACATAACACAAATAATTAAGAATTCCATGTGGAAATGGTTTGGGGGAAGAATGGTTCCGTATCTCTGAGATTGAAGATATGTGCTATGCTATCTATCAAGATTTCAATTCCCAAGGGAAAACATTTAGACAGGCAGAAGATTATTGCTCACAGCAGGTTAAAAATATTATGTATTTAAGTTGACAATCTTTAGTGGCTGGATACTCAGGGTCAGAGAGAAAAGATCAAGGATGCCATTAAGCATGGTCGTCTTGTTTAAGAGACCCCAGATTTTTGTTGAAGACTCCAATGAAAATCTTAGTGTCTCCATTGAGAATTGTGGGGTTTAAAATAAAAAGTTTTGGGTCTCAAATGCAAATTTTTGGGTCTCTTATAACATCTTGGTGGTCTCTGATGAAAATAATTGGGTCTCCAATGAAAATCTGATGGTCTCAAATGAAAATCTGGGGTCTTGAATGAAAAGCTCGAGGTCTCCAATTAAAAGCTAGGGGTCCTCACAAAAATCTAAAGGTCTCCGACAAAAATATTTGAGTCTCCAATAAAAATCTGATGATCTCCAATGAAAATCTGGGGGTCTCCAATAGTACTCCAATAGTTCCCAGACTCCTTCTTTTGATATATTCTAATAATGACCCTGATTATTACTTTTTAAACTCCTGTCACATTCTACTATCATGTCTGAACCTAAACTTGGACCAAATCTAATGGATAGCAGAAAATATTAGAACTATGTACACCAAATTGAACTATTTCACCTGTGTTCCAGTGTAAATCAAGAGAAGTTTTATCAATATTGCATTTTATTTGTTCCTAGGGAGCCCACTTGGCATCAATACACACTCATGAGGAAAATTACTATCTCCGGAGTGAAATTGAGTTCAGTAATGTTGCAAATGTTTGGATTGGATTGACCAGCTTAAATCTGGATGAGGGATATGAGTGGACTGATGGAACTCCAGCTGAATATTTAGCTTGGGGTGAAAATGAGCCTAATAATGCGCTAGATCAAGAAAGTTGTGCCTCACTGAATTCTCGAAATGGGTAGATTTTATGTCTTTGAATATTTTAAGATGCTAATAATGTTACTAATTTGAAATTCAAGTAAAAAATCAGATCCTTTAATTATAACTTTATTCAGTGTGGAATATGTTCTTGGAAAAAAGTAAAGGCTCTTATTATCAACATATTTTCAATAAAAAAGGCTGAACTAAACTCACATAAACTTGATTTATCAAATGTTGTATAGTATAAGATTTAAATTACTTTTACTTTATTCTAATTGAAGCCATAATTCAAGAAAATATTGCAATGCTTTAGATATTGGAATGATGCAAGATGCAACATTGCTCAATCTTGGATTTGTAAAAGACCAAAAGATGGAGAGTACACCACAAAAGCATCAACAGCTTACCCTTCAGGTAATGATTAAAAATATTAACTTCCTATTAAATAAAAGAATTTTCTTAAATGTATTTTGATTTAATTTGATTTCCAAAAAAAGATCATTGTGAAAGGTCACTGTCCGAAAGACTGGTTGGAATTTGAAGGACGTTGTTACAAGATCTTTGGAGATGAAACTTCTTACTCTAACTGGACAACTGCAAGGGAAACATGTAAAAGTTTAAGTATCACCAGGTAACAAGATCTAATTTGTTAATAATTTTCCCACCTTCCAAGTCATTGTTTTAAATTATGCTATCATCATGCTCATTTCAAATATTACTTTTAATAAAAACATAACTAGTGTTAAATCTTTCTTTTTCATGCTGTTTCATCTATTTAATGATTTAAAATTTAATTTCTAATTGCAGATAGGGTTGTTAATCGTTTTTGTAAATCGTTTTTCAATTGTTTTCAAAAACGATCATTTTGTTTTCGGAAAAAAAACGATCGTTTTTAAAAACAAACCACTCGTTTTGAACTTTTAGTAAACAAATAACAATGGTTTTTAAAAACAATTGTTTTTATTAAAACGATTTGCGACCGTTTAATTGTTTTCAAAAAACGATTGTTTTTGAAAAAACGATCGTTTAAAAGAAAAAATTTTATTGACAATTATGTTAAAGATTGTTAATGAAGGGTTGTCGTTAACGATCGTTAACAAAAAACAAACTTTATAAAAACAGTCGTTTTTAAAAAACGATCCTATTTTTAAAAAAAATTACATGCAACTTTATTGAATGTCGTCTTACATGAAGTTTATCAGTTGTGAGGGAGTTAAAACTTCTTGATATTTTCTCAAAAACTACTCAATGCCCTTTAGGTCGGTTTCCTCTCTTTGTTAATGATCGTTAACAAAGGGTCGTTGTTAAGGATCGTTTTAAATACGACTATTTTTAAAAAACGAATTTAAAAAAAAAAACGTTTTCAAAAAGGATCGCTTCATTTCGATTTTTTGTCATCATTTTCATAACGAAACAATCATTTTTAAAAAAATGAAAATGTTAACATCCCTAATTGCAGAAGACACAAGGGAGAACTTGCTTCAATCCATAGTGACTTGCAAACAGCATTTTTGGTAGCTGAATCAGCTAAATACCCTGAGGTAGTTAATTCAGTAGTTGATACATTTATACTTAAAATAGAGTAAATACGGTATTAGTATTTGAACACTGGTTGTTTGACATCTTTGGTTAGCTGGGCTCTTGGCATAAGTGACTTTTTTTCCAATAATTATTTCCAGAATGGAATTTTTTACCCTATTAATATGTTACTGACTAAAGTTATGAATTAAGAATGGATATTGGATTGGGCTGAACATGCTTTTATCCTACGGAGAATCATTATTTACTTGGAGCGATGAAACAGACGTAGACTTCACAAATTGGGACCAAGATGAGCCAAATGGAGCAGTAAGTAAAAAAAGTTATACACCCATTCACAGTTTGTGGGCAGCAGTCAACTACCCCAACCCCTTTGAGTAAAATAAGGGGGGGGGGGGTTAACTCCACTGATTTTTTTAAAATATGAGCTTTTTTGGAACACATCATTAGAGAGGAAAAGGGGGAAAATAAAAATGTATTCCTTTGTTAGTAAACTGCACTTTTCTCTGCAAACACATGATAAGTATTTGGAGGGGGTTGGGGTGACAACATAACTGTGCTTAGATTTTAATTAATATAATTTTACTGCTCAGTGGTACTATGAGTACTGTGTTCAAATGTATGGATTTAAAGACAGCCCGGGAAAATGGAATGATGCTAATTGTGATACAAAAACAGGATTCATATGTGAAGCCATTGTTTCGGACAATATCCCCACTGAGGTTAGATTTATTTCACCACACATTTTTAGTGCTTGGCTTATTTCAATAAAATTTATGATGCTTTTAGTCACTTCTCCTTGTGTGTACATCAAAACTATTACATTTGGCAGATTTTCTATTTCTAACGTTTGACTTCAAAAATGTTTAAAATGTCCAAAAAACCTTCTTTTTGAGTGAGGTCCCACAAAAATTTTTGTCTTACAAAAATATTGGACCTAATCTGTATAGCTTGTTATGTTCATTTGATAGAAAAAAAAGAGAAAAATGTTCAAAGTTTGTTTTTAGTCTCCAGCAGATTGGAAACCTTGCAGTAAAGCTGGCCTGGGTGAGAAAGGTTTCATTGAGCTGCATGGAAACTGCTTTAAAGTAAATTCCAAATTTTAAATATACTTTACAGTTAAAATAAAATTATTTGAATTTGTTAAGTTTGAATCTGAATCTAAGAGTTGGGAAGAGGCAGAAACAGTCTGTAAAAACTATGGTGACCATGTGCACTTGACCTCTGTCATGAATAAGTTGGAAGAAGATATTTTAGTAGTACTGTCGCATCCTGAAGATTTCTGGGTTGGACTCAAGAAAGAGGAGGTAACATCAATTAAAAAATTACCTATTTCTAATAACATCATTCATATAGTAAAATCTATGGTCAGATTTTTTTAGATTTTTATAAAATTGAGTGGAAAATTTTAAAGATAGTTTCAAAATGTCTCTGTAGCAATTTTGTAAATAATAATTTTATGAATCTTGAGTATCCCAACACTAAATTTTTAGATATTAAAATAAGCACATCTCTGTCATCCTTGATTAATAACAGGTTTAAGGGGTATGAATGTGCCACTCTACAATATAGTGGCACTTGACTTTACCCTACAGTTACTATAAAAATGTTAAAGAATACCTGGAAATGGGCAGATGGCTGGCCTGTGGAATACACTAATTGGTATAACACTGAGTTTGAAAATGGAACATGTGCCTTTATTAAGTCGCAGTAAGTAACTTATTACAGTTGGCCAATTGTAATGTTTCTTCTCTGTGATTTGTTTTTGTAGAACTTTTTAAAATTTAAACTAGTTATTCATATTGCCATTAAGCAATCATTATATTGAGATTGCCTATGTCTTATTCAATTAAAACTTTTTTGGAATTGAGGACAGAATCAACCTTTATATTAAAAAGTTATCTATGATTTTGAGATGCATAGATCATAGATAATAAATTGATAGTTGACATGGTCAAGACATCAATAGACGTTTTGCAGTTTCCCTTTATAAGCCCTTTATAAATCATGGTAAACTAGAGGTTAAAAGTTCAGTGAGAACTAACTTTAGATGTCTATCAATTAATATTTGATTTTTAAAAATTTTTAAGTCTACAAAGTGGTTTAAGCAATCTTTGATTTATTGAATGAGAGATCAAAATATGAAACACTCTGATACATTCAGACAGATCACATGTCATTGTTGTTAGTTTAACATGAAATGCTTAACAACAGATACTTTCCAGAGGAGGACATTGGTTCCAGGAGGATTGCAGTAAAAGTATGAAGTTTGCTTGTAAACATATAGAAGATGATACTCCTACTCCTCCACCACCAACCTACTGTCTAGACGGGTGGTATGGATATCAGGTATAGACCTACAAATTTGATCACCAATCTAGGAGAGCTATTGATGGGAAATCAAGCATCTATCTCAAATGGGGGTATATATCTAAATAATAAAACAAGAAATTTGTATATATGTTCCCTCTGGTTTGCCAAACGGCTAGATCGAATAGGGTTGAATTTTTTTTCAACTTTTTTCTTTCTTTTCAACATTATTTTTTTTCCATAGGCAACGCCTTGCCCTTCAGCTAGTTCCTTATAAATCATTATTTTACATAAAGTTTTGTTTAACTATTTTTTTCCTGGGTGTACCTTCACAAGCAGCAGAAGCAACAACTGGAGATCAAAGTTGGGGTTAAACCAGAGCTATTTTGGGAAATACTAATTCAAATGAAATAATGATATTTCCAACTATTATTACCTAAGCCATTGATTTTGTTGTTGTCTATTTTGGCTCATGAGGGGCATGAACACCATTCAGAGATATGCAACATACATTAAAAAGAAGATGTAAAATGATGGTTTATAAAGAAAAGATAAACCATTTGTGATGGCTGCTCAACTCCTTTCGTATCAGCCATCCCCTTTATTCAACCACTGTCTCCGTGATTGGCTTTTTTTCATTAAAAGCACAACATTTCAAAGTTTATAGTACAATTTATAGGATAAATGCTACATGGTCAGTGATGTTATCATGGATATGCCAAGCGCTAGACAAGCTTGTTGGCAGGTAAAAACAGAGTATTTAATCAGGGTTTGGCAGGAGTTGGCAGATAAAAGCAAAGCATTTAATCTGGGTTGGGCAGATGTTAGAAGATTAAAAGCTGAACATTTAATCCATGTGAGTCAGATGTTAGCAGGTAAAGGCTGAGCATTTAATCAGAGTTGTGCAGATGTTGGGTGGTAAAAGCTGAGCATTTAATCTGGGTTGGGCAGATGTTAGCAGGTCAAAGCAGAGCATTTATTCTGGGTTGGGCAGATGTTTGCAGGTAAAAACAGAGCATAAGTATTTAATCCAGGTTGGGCTGATGTTGGCAGGTAAAAAGTTGAGCATTAAATCAGGATTGTGCAGATGTAAGTAGGCAAAAGCTGAGCATTTAATCCGGGTTGGGCAGATCTTGGCAGGTAAAAGCTGAGCATTAAATCTCGGTTGGGAAGATGTTGGCAGGTAAAGGCTGAGCATTAAATCTGGGTTGGGAAGATGTTGGCAGGTAAAAGCTGAGCATTAAATCTGGGTTGGGAAGATGTTTGCAGGTAAAAGCTGAGCATTAAATCTGAATTGGGCAGATGTTGGCAGGTAAAAGCTGAGCATTAAATCTGAGTTGGGCAGATGTTGGCAGGTAAAAGCTGAGCATTAAATCTATGTTGGGCAGATGTTGGCAGGTAAAAGCTGAGCATTAAATCTGAGTTGGGCAGATGTTGGCAGGTAAAAGCTGAGCATCAAATCTAGGTTGGGCAGATGTTGGCAGGTAAAAGCTGAGCATTAAATCTGAGTTGGGCAGATGTTGGCAGTTAAAAGCTGAGCATTTAATCTGAGTTGGGCAGATGTTGGCAGGTAAAAGCTGAGCATTAAATCTGGGTTGGGCAGATGTTGGCAGGTAAAAGCTGAGCATTAAATCTGGGTTGGGCAGATGTTGGCAGGTAAAAGCTGAGCATTAAATCTGGGTTGGGCAGATGTTGGCAGGTAAAAGCTGAGCATTAAATCTGGGTTGGGCAGATGTTGGCAGGTAAAAGCTGAGCATTAAATCTGAATTGGGCAGATGTTGGCAGGTAAAAGCTAAGCATTAAATCTGGGTTGGGCAGATGTTTGCAGGTAAAATCTGACCATTAAATCTGGGTTAGGTAGAGTGTTTAATCCAGGTTGGATGGGTGTTTCCCATCAACTGAACACCACCCCAACCTGAACAGATCTAAAAAGCCTAATAGAATCAATATGAACATTGAACAGTAGTGGCTGAAATATTTTAAGGGCAAAGCAAGCTTAATAGATCAATTAAATTATAAATTTTTAACTTATTTATAAGAAAATTATTTTACCACAGTTAGAGCATAGATATATTTTACGTGGACAAATAAGACATTACTTTATTTTGATCATTGCAATATTTTAGATATTAATTTTTTTCAGTTTAAAAACCCTGATGGAACTCATGGTGATCTGCTTAGTCTGCATAGTGCTGAGCAAACTCAAGCTGTAATGAAATATGTTTACAATATGTATCCAAACTTGGGCTCAGTGAGTAATTTCATTTATGTTTGAGTAAATTTCTCAATCAACTTTGAAGAAAGTTCTTAAAATTTAACTTTAAATTATCCTTTTTATACTTGAAATTATAAAATTATAAAAAGATTGCAAAAACTGATGATTATGGTTTTAAAACTAGTTTTACGTTTAGTTTTGCTGGGAGTCTTAATGTTTTTGATCCAAAACCTTCATTTTGTTTTGTTAAAAAATAATATTAAGGATGCCATACAATAGTCACGTCCACTCTTAACATTTTCCTGATCTCTGTAAAGGATAATAGACCTAATAACCCTCCATTATAGAGTGGGATGTCCAAAATACCTTTAAAAGCTTTGTATAATCAAGAACAAATGAGATTTCCATGTTTTTAACTTTGAAAATTGAAATTACAACTGTCGTCTTTCGATAATATAGAAAAAATATTGCTAAGGTTTGGATAGGGCTGAGTAGGAGTGGAGAAGGGTTTGAATGGACTGATGAATCTCCGTTTGATTTTGAGAACTGGTATGAAGGAGAACCTAATGATGGTTATGAATCAGAAGATTGTGTTGATGTAAGTTTTTGTTGGCATAATTCTAGATTTTGTTGTTCCTTTCTGTAAAAATTGCTTTTTCATGGAATTTGTCCAATGAAAATCGTTATTATGAACAAAATATTAGAATTGCTTAATGCTTATAGCTTTTCTGTTGTTTTCTTCATTTCAATTTTACATATTTGATGTAAGATATTTGATGGAAGATATTTGATGGAAGAAGTGGTAGAATCAAGAACAGAATAATAGGAAAAACTAAATTTTTTTGTATTAAAGCTCACATTTTTTTGTTCTTAAAAAAACAAGAGTTTATGTTGTGTAGCTATATTCTACAGGCAATTGGTGAAGCCTTTACATGGAATGATGTATTTTGTTCCCAATACACAGCCTATGTCTGCATGCTGGATCAAGGTAGATTAATTTATAAATAGTGATATCACCTAGATTTGATATTTTCTGTTTCTGCAATTCATTGTTAGTTAAACACTTCGTCTAAATTAATTTAAAAAATGCATATGTTCTCTATTTTCAAAATATCCTTATTATTTTTCCTAGTTTTTGTTACTTTCCTAAATTAAAAAACATTTAACAAAATTTTTTGTTCAACATATTTGCTTGTTAAAAACAATTGTTTATTTTACTTTGAAAACAATGTTTGTTAACTATTTAGAACACTTAAATGTGAATTAATCTTTCTGATATTTCAAGAGACCTTAAAGTCTTTATTTTTAAAGACCCCAATGCGTTTTCTGATTACTATTTGGACCCAAAGCCTATATTTCTACAGACCCCAACACCTATATTTCTAGAGATCCCAATGCAACGCTTCTTTTTCTAGAGAACCCAATACATCTATTTCTAGCGATCCCAACATCTCTATTTCTAGAGATTGTAGCGCCTTAATTTCCAGAGACCCCAACAAATCTAATTCTAGAGACAACTCAACGCATATATTTCTAGAGATTCCAACACATCTATTTCTAGAGACCTCAACATATTTATTTCTAAAGATCCCAGCATATTTATTCTTGAGACCTCAACACCTCTATTTCTAGATATCCCAAAACCTCTATTTTTAGATATCCCAACAAGTACATTTCTAGAGATATCAATACCTCTATTTCAAGAGATCTCAACACTTCTATTTCAAGAGTTCCCAACACATTAATTTCTATGGATTATAACACCTTTATTTTCAGACACACAAAAGTCTTTAATTCTCGAGATCCAAAAGGCCAACACCTCTATTTCTAGAGAACCCAACACAATAGTTTCTATAAATCCTAACACCTATATTTCAGAGACACAAAAACCTTTAATTCTAGAGATCCCAACAGTCAATCTACTTCTAATGATCCTAACACTTATATTTTTAGAGATCCAAATACATTTATTCCTAAAGATCCCACACCTCTATTTTCAGAGATAGCAACACCTTTATTTCCAGAGATCTCAATACCTCCATTTTCAGAGACCCCAACGCCTTTTTTACTAGAGATCCCAATACCTCTATTTCTAGAGACACCAAAGTCTTTATTTCTAGAGACACTAAAGCCTGTATTTCCAGGGATCCCAACACCTCTATTTCTATTGATCCTAACGCATATATTTTTAAAGAACCTGATACAACTGTATCTAGATATCCCAACAAATATATTTCTAGAAGTTGAAACTCCAACACATCTATTTCTAGAGACCCCAACACATTTCTAGAGACACCAAAGCCTTTATTTCTAGAGATCCCAACGCCTTTATTTTCAGAGACTCCAACGACAACTGTAACTACCATATCCTCTGAGTCTCCAGTAACTGGTTCATCACCCCACACAGAGGAGACAACCACTGAAAGGAAACCCACAGAGCATACAACACAGAGAGAAACTACAAAGCATACCACAGGTCTCTTTTAACCATTCCACTCCAATTTAGTCTTGTAAATGGAAAGGGTATGAAATAAATTCTGCTCAGTACTGTTTGCTGCGAGAGAGTGAACCTGAAACCATTTTTTGATAAGCAGGTTGGATCTTCCTCATCATTTGGGATCAATATACAGCTTGTTGATAACTAGGCTTGTGTTCCTTTGTGGCATTAGAGCGGATTGTCCCCATCCTTTGGGATTGATATATAGCTTGTTTGATAGCTATGCTTGTATCCCTATGTGGCATTTAGAGCATTGGATCGCCCCCATCATTTGGGATCGATATAGATTGCTTATTGATAGCTAGGCTTGTGTCCCTGTGGGGCATTTAGAGCACTGTATTAATAGCTGAATTTTGATAGCGGACGAATTGTACCTGGATAGATACGTTCGAGAATTTGTTATGGAGTAGGTGTTTACTACAGACATACGGCAGGGGTCTTAGCTTTGTTGGCAGAGCAAGCTGGTGCAGACGTAGGTTGACGCAGTCTGAGTCTGTAAAAACGATCGTTTCGTTATGAAAACGACGACAAAAAAACGAAACGACGACCCTTTGTTAATGATCGTTTACAGAGCCTTCTAGCTAAATATACAACCTTTTCAGAGCATCATACTGATGATCACCCTACAACTACCACAGTGCCTGATAACCAGGGTACAACTGAATCCAATAATCCTACAGGTTAAATATTTTCTGCAATTTTTCTTAGTTTTTTCCCTTCATTATTTAGCAAAACAATAAATAAAACTTAATATTTGAAAATTTTCAAAACTTAAAATTTTCAAGTTTAACTGTTCGTAAATACATAAAATACAGAAAATTGTGGAATAGGAAGATCTATGTTAAAACAGTCCAATGAACTTAAAACACAGCAATTTACACAAACCCATTATATTTCAAAGGTTCATTTTTAATCCAATTGTTTGCCTCTTAAAAACATCAAAAACAAATAAAATTACTTTTGTGTCGCATTCCAATTCCACAGTTTTATTTATTCAAAAATTCTTGAAAATACTTATTAATTGATTATATTATTTAGATTCTGGAATGGGAGATGGTGCAATTGTAGCTATTGTACTGTTCGTTCTAATCTTATGTACAATCTCTGCTGTACTTGTTATACAACTAAGGTATTTAATGAGGCTGTTTCATAATTTCAAATGACCATTCATTTTAGGAATTAACTCCCGATTTACAGGTTTTGTACTTTTATTGAGATATCCGAGTTTTCTTTCTTAAAATCCCCAATAGCAATTTCGTAATGAAAGCAACGATAATATATATATAGATATGCAGACAGGTATAAATTTAGAGGTCTTGAGATAATGAGCACAAAGCACCATCTCTGTCGTACGCATGGCATTTTATCCTCTGGATTGTTGCTAATTTATCACTTTGTTTATGCGTGATAACACTAAATGCGTACTATTGTATCAACAATGTATACTGCATATTGTACTTAATGAAACAAATTAATCAATGCAAATAAAACTGGGGTAGGAATTTGACTAGACAGAGTTTAAATGTGCAAGTTGTACTGAATGGCATACGTAAATTAACGCAATTTAAATAAAAATTATGACTATAAAAGTACATCGAGTCTAGGACAAATTACAACTGATCTGATCATAACATAAACAAAACGCGTACTGTATGTTTGTGTTACCTTGAAATTTAATTTTATTGGTCAAACAGGTCCAGATAGCAACACTTGAACTATACAGGATGCAATACGCGTACTGTATGTTTATATAACACAAATGCGTATTTCCTAGAGATAGCAGAAAGGGGAGAAAGGCATATAGAAAGTAATCAATTTGCTATAGATGTCTCTTTGTGCACATTTTTTCAGAGGTTCAAAAATTAGTTGTCTGCTACAGGCAATTTAGGAAGGAGGTTTCTACCTGCCTGCATATCTATATATATTTTATCGTTGAATGAAAGCAATCTGCGGATTTTTTTTTAGCAGAGGCAATGTAGAAAGTATGCAGAAACACAATAACTTTTTCGTATATTCATGATTGTTAAATTATATTTTTAAATTAAAAAAAAATAAGGGAGAATAACTGGGATTGGAGGAGAATGGCAACAAATGCACGAGCCAGGTCGTCTTCGATGTTCCGCCAAAATGGGGCGCCATCTTTTCCCAACATGGCGTACAACTCAGGTCAATCAATTCATATTTTTGACTGATGGAAATATGAAATAAAAAATATTTTTGGTTAAAAATTTAATGTGCATAAAATTTAACATCCTCCATTTCATGAAATGCCTGAGAAAAAAATTTATCTGAATTTTTTTAACGCGTTTTCTCTTTGACAAATGACGGATTTTGCAGGAGTTAGAAAAACGAAAACTTTTTTATCTTTGCTTAGATAACGGATCTAAAAAGGTACATTTATGTATCAGGCATGCTATTATTAAAACAAAGAGGTTTAAAAACTCCGTGGACAAACTCTTTAGCTTTATATTTACATATATATGAATATAATTTTTTTCAGGTTCCAGCAGTGTTAAAACTACATGAAGACTAAGTGAAAACGTCAACAGAAAGGGCTGGAAAGCCAGCGACAACAATTCTTTGTCCGAACCACATTATCATTATTTCTAGTCGGCCAATATTAAGTTTTTTTTAATATTAAAGAATCAACCAATGAAGAATTAATTAAAAATGCCAAAAGAACTATAGATGCACAAAATATGATGAAGTAACGATGTCTATGATTCTCTTAACCTCCCCCCTCTCTACCTTTTTTTATAGTTTTCTATCCCAAACCTCTCCATGTGTAACCCTTGTTCAGTCTATCTGCAAATTAAGGTTCAAACGAGAATGAAAAATACTTTGTTGCCCAGAAAATGTCCACCTTTAGATAGTATAAAATAGTATTTAATTTATGACCTTTTTTTCAATTGTTGTTTTATACATACATGCATATATGCATTTGTGCATAGGTTTAATAAAATTATACATTTTTGTAACATGTACTTAATTTATTTAATAAATAAAAAGAAAGTTGTGAAAATTTTATAGAAATCGGTACAGCCAGTGAAGTGCAGATCGGGAAAAGAAAAAGTTTAGAGAAAAAATGTTTAAACTGATTCTTTGATTTAGTATAGTGATACCTACTGAGAAAGCTGTAATCTGTAAGAGTTTCGTCTGCTATGTTCACATTTTGTTTGTTTATGTTTTGACATGCATACGGTTGCAGTACTTAGTAAAACAAGAAAATTACAGTATACAAACAGAGTAAGCTTGTCAGTCCTCACTTTTCATCTTGCGGAGACATTATAGACGTACACATCTTTCCAGTCTTTTACCCTTTTCAAAAAATAAACTCTAGCAGACAAAATAATATTATTGGTTTTGAAATTAGGTATAACATTGCTAATTCATAACAAAGACGATATCAAATTCGTCAATGAATTCACATTATTTTTGGGACACCCTGTAGATGAGTGTACAACTTCCACCATCTTTTCAATTCATTTAATGTAGAGTCGTTGTTTTTCTTACATGCAATTGAAATTGACCATAAAGAAACTAAATCTGCAAAAATATTTAAACAAAGCGTAATCAATATTTATCTTGAGAATTATGAGAGGTTTAAATGTGAAAAACCTAGTTATATATCATGAGAGTAAATTGTATATAAAGAAAAAAACTAAAAAAACTGACACTTTATTATCTTATTTGAGTTAGTGTATCCACCATCCTTAACACCCTGTATTTTAATTTATCTCTACATTAATCCCTCTGATCTCACCCTGCCACAGATCACCTAACAATATGGAAGTGGGCTAAAGTTTCTAAAGACTTTTTAGAAGAGGCTCGGGAACCTTAGCCTCCGCTTTTCCAAGAAGTTCATCCCCGTAGCCCCCCCCCCCCCATCGCTGAATATGGCCCTGACTCTATAGTCTACTAATATATATCGATTATTAGATAATGATAGTGCCGACAATCTGAAGTCTTTAGATCGAACAATTTATTTTCTCACACAGCTTACCCAATTATTTTATACACTCGATAACAAATTGTATCATCTTATAACATAGAGCTCTCTTATATCTTTATCAAAAGGATATTTTAAAGAAGAAAAAATCCGCCAATTTGGATTTAAATTTGATTAATTTAAAGTTGGGATGAACGAGGGGAGGAAAGCCAACCACAACTATTTCTCGTCCGAGCCACATTCTCCTCAGTTTTTCGTCCGAGCCACATCGAATTCCTCGTCCTTTCAATATTTTTTTTAAGTGTCTAATCCTCCCAGATAAAACCATTTATAAAGAGTTGGGCATAAAGGAAATATCGAATTTTTGTAACTCGAAAAAAAAGTTTCAATTGAATTAAAGTTTTCAAGTTATAAAACTTTAATAACTATAACTATAACTATATACAAATAGAAATATGTACAAAAACACATTTCAGCTTCTCCAACGGTCAGCTTTAGTGCTAGAACTTTCAAAACGTTTGTAAGTTATCTTAAAGTCATGATAAACAAATTCACCATTTCTATTAGCATCTTTATGGATTTTTGAACTTGAGGCATAGGAAAAATTATTTTTAATATTTTCAGCCTGAGAAGGCCATAATTTTAACAATTATGGGTCAATTTTGTAGAAAATAGTAAAATCCAGAATGAGCAAAACGAATAACCAAATCTGTTTATCATGATTGTAAGATAATTTATAGATGTTTTGAAAGCTCCATTTTTAAATCTGACCAGAGGAGAAACTTAAAAGGTTTTTTGAATTTATTTCTTTATGGGACCAGAGCTAAAAAACCTACAAGCCAAGCCAATTATTGCTTTTTCATTTATTTTTTCGTGGATGTACACATTAGATTTAGTTCTCAATGTTAATTAACCAATATTTGGTCAAGAAACAACATAGATTGATAGATCTAAAAGACATAATATTTAAGTGTGTGTACAATCCCGATTTTTAGTGTGTACTTAGGTATGAACACAATATCTTGGGGCACAATATCTTGATGGGAGACTTCAACGATTAATGCCACAGTAGCGTTTCATGTTTCTGATGAATTAAGTCGCATTTTTCTAATAAAAAGACATTTTTAACCCAGTAAATATACCAGTAAATTTAGTTTTTGTTGTGATTAGCCTATATGCTATAAAAAAGTACAAATGCCAATTATTTGACTTGTAAAGAGTTTCCTTCTATCATTCTAAAAATGCAGTTCAATCTTTCGAAGACTGTGATCTGCCTTCACTATTTTCATATAAATATATAATAACACTTGTAGCTCTATTCATGTTTGTTAAAAAATACAACTGTTTCTACATTACTATTTATGGGTATAGGGAAGTTGATCGGTTTGGTTCGGTTTAAAAACCTTTAATCAAACATTTCAAAACTGTCTTTTATTCCACAAGTTAGCTTTTTTTTAACTTTGCAGTTAGGGTTTCCAATCGGAATTCCGGTTTAATGTTTCTTGTGGTTAACCTATGCATTAACTTTTTTTGGTTAAAATTGTAAGGTTCGTTTAATCAAACTAAAATACTTTGCTACAGTGAGAACCAGAAATTTATGGAATAGAAAGACACCATCACAAAGCAAAAAAAATATTAGTAACTTAACAAATCACTTTTCAGTTATATGGGTCTGCTTGATTTTAAGATGTCGTCTTCCTATGCCAGAGTTTTCTGGTTATCATGCTGCATAAGAATATTATAAAACAAAAGATTAAGTTTAAATTCAATTTTCCTAGCATTTGAGACTGAAATGTTAGTGAAGTTCAGTTTATTGTATTTGTATGCCACTAACAAACTTTAAATTGAATGTTTTGTTGTTGCAATAAAGATAGATGTCTTATATGTATCGTTCAACGCCTGAGATTCTCAGGTTTCATCATATATCCCCTTTCATTTTTCCTATACAGTCCCTTTAACAACCCTTTTAAATCAAAATACGCATCCTTCAGTGTACTTGCAGTAACCTTAGGGTTGGGTTAATATGAAGGAAATGATTGAAAACAAAGCAGTGTAAAAATATAAAAGGCCTGGTTAGTACTTAACACGTCATGGAGTAAACAATATGCAATGACAGTTCAACTTGAAGCGCAGTACAGAGGCACTCCATATTAGTCAACAAGCGGTGAAGGCTGGGTATTTTGTTTAGTTCCTTACTTCTGCATGTTCATATGATATTTTATGTTGCTTTAATCAGAACAAGGTTTTAAGGGCACCGTTGTGAATCGAACATATGTAGTGGAGAATTACTCTAAATTATTTCTAGCCCATTTGAAAGGTTACTTCTGTCAATTGTTTAAGTATGTGTCAAACAATAAACTTCCTGTAAAAAAAAACAATGATTCGTGAAAAAATGACAAACAAATCACAGCTCATTGTTTTTATTTGATTAACATTTGCTCGTGTTAGTAATTTTGTAAAGTAAACTTTTGGAAAACCATTCAACTTGAATATTTCTGTATATATCCAATAAACGTCGAAAAGACTAACCAAGTAACCTTACTCTTTTCAATAAATGAGTATGTTCACAATGTTTAATACAATTTATAAGCTCATGGTATGCTATAGGTTATACTTAAATAGAACTTACACAATTTAGTTGTTTATGTGGATCAAATACTTGAACAAAAATACTTCCTGTTTGAGCAAAGTAGTGAGGAAAAGGAGGGTAAATTGAATTTTGTTGTTAAGAAATAGATATTTAAAAGATTTGCAATGCCCCCCCCCCATCCCAAGGTTGGGGAGTAAAAGTTCTACTATTTAACCCCCCCCCCCCCACCTCCCCTCCTCTCCTCTTTCCATCCTCACGAATTACCTAATCCTAATCATTTCCAATTAGGATGAAAGAAATCATAAATTACCTAATTTTCATGATTTCGATTCTTTTTACTTTTCCTAAACAATAACTTGTAAATAATGATATTGAATATTGAAACAGGAAGAGTTAAAGGAACAAATCTCGAAAAATGAAAGTTGGTTAAGTAATTTGTTCTATCCTATTATCATTTAATCATCCTTCATCCAAAAACTCTCTGCCTGTGCTTCCTAATAGGACACATAAAAAACGCGTTTTTGATTATAGAATGAGATCTTTTGCAGTTTAAAGTTACAATCAATACATAATTTTATATCAATTGTTTCCAAACTTACTTTTTCGTGGTTTTTCCCTTTAAAAGTGATACAAAGAGTAAAAAACTGTTCAGACTGTAACCTTTTAAACTTTAGTTTTTGCTGATATCACATTCTTTAATATTATCAGAAATCAAGATACAGTTATTAGCACCCTTCCCTCATGTTAACATACAAGCCCCCTTTCCCAACAAATAAGGTATTCACGCTTTTCGTGCCCCCCCCCCCTCTCCTCCCTCTCTCCCCTACACTTCCTTGTATCTTACAGCCCAGATATATAATTTTGTAATTATTTTATCCTAAGATATTCATTACAGGGTGAATCAGAACAAAAGAGTCCATCCAGCATTACAGGGTGAGCAAAAAAGAAGCTATTTAATTACAGGGTGTTTCTGACCGTTTCGACAATTTTAAAATTTTTAAATTTTTATTATGAAAAACTTTTTTTCATCAAACTTTGATTTTGACTTTGATTTTAACCAAAAGGGTTATTATTCAATAAACCCCCCCCCCTTCTCCTTTAACCGGCAATGTTATTTAAACCCATTGTAATACCAAGTCAGGGCAGGGGGGGGGGGGTAAAGAATGTTGGTTAATTGTTAACGTGTCAAACAAATTATATCCTTCAGACCTAGTTTTTATGTTCAAAAGTCTTGATACCAATAAGATGTGATATTGTTGCTTTAAACCACGAAACTCTGGGGGAGGGGGGGAGGAGGGGGTATTTTTTTTATGAAGTTCGTAGGTGAAACAACTGTATTGTCAAATCACAAGTATTAAACAAAATAATCATGATTTAAAGCCCAGAGCAATTGATAAATATTAAGCTACTATATTAAATTATTATTTTGAAAAGTAAAAAAATCTGTATCTTTAGTCACAAAAAAAGTAGTGCATTAAAAAAA